CCATACTACTGGAATTCACACGGGAAATAAATGTTTGGTTTGGGTAACACGTAGTTACATGAATGCAAACCCTGTTATCTATCTATTTTATCTGTGTGGTTGCAACTAAAACAGAGCATCTACTCAAAAAAGACGCAGAAATTGATTTTCAAGTACCTTCTTTGAGCAGATGCTCCATTTTCATCAAAATGCTAGTTGAGAATTCCACACTGATGTAGCAATGTACATTGCTCAAAATTTGCAGGAGGAATGACTATTCATCCCAGCTTAATGCTTTTATCCAGTGCTCAACAGTGCCATGCACCATTTCAACATGCCATTTCTGCATACGAATAGCATTACAAAATTTGCCAGATATTTTTAATCACTCTATATGTATACTGGGCAATCCAAAAGTAACAGAAAAACTAAAATATTCAATAACTTAAAAAGTACAGGGGGTAATACGTAGCATGTTTTTTAAGTATGCATACACTAGTATGCGTCGCGTGGGCGGTAACGAGTGCTTGCACCGTATCCTGGCATTCCTTGCAAACAACTGTGCTCAGTTGCAGCTGTGTAGGTAACCTGTACAGTCTGTTCTGTATCTTCAGCTAAATGTTCAAGCTTATTGAATCGTCTGCCCTGTTCGAGGTATGGTCAGTAATACGTTTTTTGTTGGCAAGAAACCTGCCTTCTACAGACATTCACTTGCAGATTTGTGCAGTTTATGGAGCTACTGTCATAAATGAAAGCAAAGTGAGCAAATGGGTCAAAGACTTCAAAACTGTCCACAATGAACGACGTCCGTAATGAAGTTCCTGCTCCAGGTTGCACTCATTTGTGATCACAGACGGTGGCTTCAATTGAAATCACCCTATGGTTGGTTTCGAGTTGAATTGAAAATCCTTGAGAACAGAGGCACTTCACCATAAGAACTCTTTCAAACTGAATTTTCTCAAGTGTCTAGTCTAGGACATGTGAAAACGGCCCTGACCTCTCGGCTGTTGGAGCTGGCGGCAAGTTTCTTATGAAGAGGGTATTCAAATCTTAGTTCTAAGGCATGATATGTGTTTAAACAAGACTTGGCAACTGTGTTGGAAAATAGAGAAATGTATGTAGGAATCTGAAAATAAATTTGGTGTTTGAAAATTTTCTTTTGTTTGATTTTTATTTTCAAACAGCCCTTACTTAAAAAACATTCCTTGTACAACACAGCTTTCGTAGAAATGTAGAAAGACATATGAATTTTTTTAACAATGAACGATTTTTATTATCATAAATGTTTCATTTTTTAGAGATGGTGCTTCTATTGCATCAGAAGTTAATTCAACAGTGCAGCACAGTTCAAAATTCACTCAAGATTAGAAATGTTCAATGCGATGACTGGTATAACGAGATGGCCATCAAATGTCGCATAACACTACACAGCATCAAAAAGGTTTTGGTCACACAATGCCGAATAACTTCTTTTAATATTCCCAATAGCATCAGCCAAAATCTGTACATCTGTGATTTCAATTAGCCTCATAACCAAATGTCACAATATTTAAGATCTGAAGATTTTGGTAGCCATTTTTGTCAGAAAGAACAACTAAAAAACATGGTCATAACAAATGTCAATTGTACAAGGTGATGGATAGGATATGTGCAGAAGTGTTCCATCTCACATTAATGTTACATTATATAGCACTTGTCTCTCTTGCAAGGAGAGTATGATGTCTCTTAAAAGTGCTGCATAAAGTTTAACTGTGATAGAAGGAATCTGTAATGCACTGCTGTGCAGTTCCACAATGAAAATAAGTCCCGTAAAGAATGATGCAGTGACATTGGACCATGTCTTCATCTTTGTCTGATGAAAAAGGTTCTACATTACTGCATAATGTTCTTTCTTGCCCAAACGTACGAAATGCGTGTATTTGCACTTCCATTAAGCTTAAAATACATCCCACCAGTCTGTATTGTTTTTCATCTAGTGAAAAGTCCAACTTGTAAATTCATGCTTGATTTCTCTCGGCCATTGGTGCCGGTGGCAAATTTCTATGAAGAGGGTATTCAAAACTTAGTTCTAAGGCATGATTAAGTTTCCTAAGGATACATCTTAACCCCTTACATATGTCATTATGTTCTTATTGTCATATGTTCTTATACATTGTCCTTATACGTATGTCATTATGTTCTTATTGTCAGTTATGCATCAAATGTTGCTAGCAGCTGGGTGATGGACTGGTGCAACACACAGTCTCCAAGGTGAGATGTGCTAAGCGGCATGCCGTCTCATACGAGAATTATCAGCTGATGCATAAATGATACACCCATCCTGAAGGGGTTAAGGATGGCCTTCAGCAATCATCCATTAAACCTGTACAAAATACCTATACTCTAGAACTGCCACTAATAATGAAAAAAAAATGTAGTAATTCTGGTAACACAATTTTTTGTCATTAATAAAAAAAAAAGTCTTTCAGTGCATTTCTGTACAAAATAGCATTCTGCTGCTGTCTATACTTTTCAAGTTATTGAATTTTTACTTTTGCTGTTACTTTCAGATCATCAAATATATATGTATATATATATATAGTAAAAACTGGACTATTCAGAAAGCCTTAAAAATGCCGAATTTCGAATATAAGAAAACTCTAGATCTGCATATAAAAACTGCAACTGATGGGAGGAAAGCCAAACGATTGGAAGAAGAAATGTTCAGTCTAAAATTATAAAAACATGCATCTTATTTGTTATTTAACAATATTCAAAGCATACATTTATTACGATGTCCTGCCAAAGTTATGCCAATCATTTCAAGAGAAATTAAAAGCAAATGATTACTATTTATTTAGTTAGACAATCTACAAATATAGGATATACAAATTTAAATCAGTTGTCGCAGTTTTTCACGCAGTATTGCTACTCTTACTCTGTTTTTAAAATAAGTTAGCAGATCATGCCATTATTGCAGGTCCCAAATTTTAATTTTTTGAAAATGCAAGGGAGAAACATAGAACAAAATAACAAGACAGTGTTTAAAAATAAAAAAAGGAGGGAAGATAGCTAATCAAGAAATAATCAGATTTACATTAAGCTAACGAATCAAGCACAATCTTATGATTGTGCTGAAGTGACATGCTTATCCATTATTGGTGCTAAATAACACTGCTTGGCCATGACTTTTGTTTGTCAAAAATGGTCAATGTTAAACATAGTAGTAGAATTAGTTTTTGTGAGAGACAGAAATCAACACTTGTCATAAACTTTGGAATCTCACATACGTTCCCATACCATACTAACTTCTCAACCCCAAGGGCAAATTCTTGGAACAATACAACAGATACAGATGGGGATGGAGGGTATACGCAACATCACATGAGAGAAAGCCATGCAACTGCATTCACATTTTAGATGTAATAAATGGGATTCTGATAAGTAGTTATGTAGATGCTTCAAGATGGCTTACAAATCTCTCATTTGATTATTAATTTTCTTTAAAAAAAGGCTCTAAAACATATTTGGTCATTTGAGCTTTCTGGTTAGCTGGATGCCAGAAAATCAAGCATTTACTGAATATACAGTACAATGTCCGTAATCCGGATGTCCATTATCCGGAATGATCTATAATCTGGACCTCAAAGCCACAAACTTTTTTTGGTTACGGAAACAAAACCTACACTCACCTTTCACAAACACATTTTGTATTAGAAATTAAAAGCACAGCACTGGGCATTTTGCCACCCAGTGCAAGGGTACATTATCTATGGGTCCAAAACTCTACTGCCCGGTGCCTCCATAAATTTTTAAAATTTTGCTGCCCCTAAAAACTGCTGCTCAATGAATCTATAAAATTTGCTGCCCTTAAAATCTATCACTTGGTGCAACTGGTGCAGTTGCACTGGCTCAGGCACCGACCTTGGCACAGCTATGCATTATTTAATATTTATATTAGGATCCTTACTTAAACATAACATATATACTGAATCATGCAACATCAATATAAACTTACCAATGTATTTTCATTTTAATGAAAAAAAAATAATAATAATAAAAACTGAAGAACCATCTCAAAGAAAAGTGACAAAGAATTCACTTTTTACATATGAAATCGCATCACTTTTTACACATGCATCATTTATATTTTATTTTGTAATCACTTAAAATTATTTAAGGTCACTTAAAAAAAGACTCTGCAGATCTTATGATAGTGAATCAGATACTTTGATAGAATGGGCATTCCATACATAAATAGCATAGTAAAACTTGAATTAAGATATTTAATCTTTTCCTAAAAACCTTGAATGCTATAGCATTCTTCAGAGAAGCATTCACAACACAAAACATCAGTTTATATTTGCTGGCTCTGTTGAATTACATTTAATAAAAGCATGTGTATTCCAGTCTGATTACTTAAAGAAATTCCAAATTAAAAATCCTAATTAGTGGAAAATAATACATTTAAATTTAACTTTATTTATGGTCTAAAGGCAATTATTATTTTTTATTTCTTGCAATGAACTTGAAATTTCACTGCAGGAACTAAAATGATCAATAATTTCTTTTCAAAATGCAACAAATATGTTCCAATTTGTAAATACATATATAAATAAAATATGCAAATAAATAACACATTTAGAAATAAAGTAACTTTACACCAAAATAAATTTTTATAATATAAGGTAGGCCATGGAAAAGTAGACTGCCTTCAATACCAGCACCTTGTTATTTGGAGAAGGCCACAGAGCCTTGTTCTTTGTATGTAGACAATCGTTTTATCTGAATTAATACTTCTCTGAGTGATTAAACTATAAGCGAATTAGAAAAACACTTCTTTTGTTTTCTTACATACAAAATATTGCACTCACTAGTTTTTTTTTTTTTTTTTTAATAGAGTAAAATGAAATTTTATACTTCTTTGTGAAATAGTTTTCTACGCCTAAACCAAATGACTATTAGTTTTTTAATGGATTATATTTTCAAAGTTTAAATGATTACAGAAATGAACGCTGCTTTCCACAGGCTTTGCACCTTACCTTTCTTCAATGGTTTTCTTAAAAGCATCACTCACACCAATTAAATCCTTATAATTATCATTTGAAAGAATGACACCCCCTGTCATTGTTGCCAATTCAACTATAAACCTATAAAAAAGTTTGAGGTATAAGAAATATGAACAGTTAAACATATATATAGAGAGAGACGAACTCATATTTTCTGTTTTAATTATTCTTCAGTGAAACTGATCATAAATATTTACTCAGATGAAAAGAAAAAATCATTCATCATCATTGTAAATATACTTTATAGTGAAATGAGAAGTTTTATCATAATCCTTTGAGGTAATACTTCCCTATTTCTTTAATTCATATTTCAATGATTCTTGCTTACAAAACATTTAAAAATTATATATGATTAAATAAATACTAATTCAATTATACATAAAATTAAAATGACAGATTAATAAATATGAGTTATATATTAATAACAAATTAAAAATTATATATGAAATTCAAATTTATTATTGAAAGCAAAATACTAACTATGCTTTATATTATATTTACTCAGATGAATAAAATATTCATCATCATCGTATATATATTTTAGAGTGAAACATGAGCTTTCATCATTTCTTTCTTTCTATTTTTTAAATCACAGGATAAAGAACAATGCATCTTTTGTGATATTATTTTCCTACTTCTTTTGATTTTAGATCAAGATTCTTGCTTACAAAGCATTAAAAATATATATGATTAAATATATCTTAAATAATAAATGAAATTAAAATTATATATTAATATATATAAATTAAAATTATACAGGCGTTCTGTTAATGTGGTGATGAACTCAGAGTAATGATAGTAGGCATCACAAGTATTGGTATTACAAACCATATGTAGTCGGAGAAAATCACAATACTTATGCAAGGCCTGACAGTGAGGGGGGACCAAAACAAAGTACAATAATCACAACAATATTTTACTTCATATCATGTTTACAAAACGGCCCATGATGTACAATATAATGCCAGATAGAAGAGAATGAGAAGTTACTAGAGGTGTTGTTCAAAGTGCATCCATGGACATTTGCTGGAATGCACTCAAAGATAATAAGTGCATTGTTTGATGTCTACTGCAGTGATCATGATATGTGCTGTGAGTTTTTGCAGTGTTTCCACAGCCATCTCAGACTTAAAGTATCTTCAAAAGAGAAAGTCGAAGGGATTGAGTTTTCGTGAGCATGGTTGCCAAGCAAAGATTCCATAATGTCAAATCCACCTCCTGGGATATGTAACATGGACCATCTCTTATGTGGTTATGCACCATGCTAGAAAAAATATGAATAACTTATCTCTCCACAATGCTGATGGTAAAAGAAAACTTGCTTCTGAGAACAGCAACTTATATCTGGCATGATACGCTTTAGGAAATGAAGATATATGTTGCACCTGTAAGGCTTCTGGGCAAAACATATGATTCCAACAGATAATTACGAAGAATTCATGTTCAAATTTTAATACTGAAATCCAAGTTCTGCTTTCAGAGATTGGACTGATTTGGAGGCAATTTGTAGATCACATGTCAGTATAGTATGCTTGTTGACATGGTCTTCTGGCAAGAAGATAACCTTACTAGAGAATAAAATAGCAGCAGGAAATTATGGATTACTCCTGGTGGCATCAAGCATCCAGTCATCTTCAGTTACAAGGTCATACAATTATGCGAGGACTGCATATTTTAGCATGGTTCACACTGCCATGTGCACTGATTTCAGCTGCAGTTCCCAGCATACATTTTGGAGGGAAATTGCACTATGCATTTAGATGTGCACACATTGCGTGGTCATCTTATATCACATCTTGCTGCCATGAAGGACTCCACGTCCTTACAATTGTTGATCAATCTAGGTAAATGTGGTTTTATGCAGACACCATCTCCTTGGATATTGCTTTTGGTACATCTGCTCTGTTAAGCATCCTCTATGACCTGCTTGCAGTAAATCAAATGTATATTAGCATATTCCTCACTTATGTAGTCAGCTTTTCCCCAAATGAAATAAACAAGTAATTGTTGCACATGACTATTACTGTGATGATACTAATTTCTGTTATCTGCAGCCGATACTCCTGCATTCTGAAACACAGCTAACAACAAACACATCAGTGAATCGTAAGCCATTCTGATTTACTCTAACAACTAAATGTTATTTGTGATAGCAAGGCAATTACTGTTCCAGTTAATGCCTTAATGTTACTGTTATGAGTTTATCATTGCATCAACAGAACAACCTGTATAAAAAATGATATAAAAAATTGAAATTTATTATTGAAAACAAAATACTAAATATGCTTTATACATACTCAGATGAAAAAAAAATATTCATCATCATTGTATGTATATATATTTCACAGTGAAACATGAACTTTTATTATATTTTTTAAAAAGTCTCCATGTGTCCATTGTGATAATATTTTCTATTCCTTTAATTCATAATTCACACATTCCTGGTAAGCAAAACATTTAAAAAATTATATACAGGATTCAGATTTATTATTGAAAGCAAAATACATAACATTGCATATACTTTATTAGTGGAATTTTTATTACATTGAGGTAAACTCCTTTTTCTTTTACACACTTTTTATTAATTAATTTAATACCTAAATAATTTCTTTAATATTAAAATAACAAAGACAAATTTTATAAATTTCTAGACAAAAATTCAATTTGCCATTTAATGAAGCCTCTCAAAACAACTTTAAAAAAAAAGTTTATTTTTTACAATATCATTTAGGAAAATATTTGAATTTGTAACAAAGGTAACATTTATATTACATAAATGATTCATTTAAAATGTCTTCTAAAAAGAACTAAATTCTTTGTCGTACAAAATTTTATTAATGTTTTTAAAAAATAAGTGAATTACTTAACACGTTTGCTGCCAAAGCTGATTAGGTGCATCCATTCGTACGTGGTGATACAAACTAGATCCTTACTGTAATTTTAAGCTTTTAAATTATTTTCTGTTGTTTTATATTTTAAATATTGATATAACAGATTATATTTAGTATTAACTACATTTCCATACGTGTACTCATAGCTGTCATATGAAATACTATTTTTGCTCCCCATGTCAAACTAGAAATGAATTGGAGATACATAAACAGTAGTTCACCCTTTTTGCACATTTATCGAAAGATCTTCATGTATGATACATTATTTGCCATTAGTCTTACGTCACTGAAGAAGAATTAGAGTTCATTTATAACATAATTTCTCAAGTGTATAATGCCGCCCCCCCAAAAAAAAGGCTTTGTGTTCTAAACGTTTAGTTATAGTTTTGAGAAATAAATTATCTGACAGTTACGATGTGAGAAATAATGATCCATTTCAGCACATCAAGTGTATTATTTAGTGCCTTTCTACATAGCAAACCCCTAAACATTGTATGAATTCACTACGACAATACTTGTACTTGTTCATTTAGGTAAGGTGATCAATAACAAATTACCTCACAGCTGGCAAATAAACTCAGTTTGCAAATTACAAGTATTCCCATAGAAGGCAGCGAATATGTTAAAAGCAATGAATACCAACTTAATAACAGGTACTAACTATCACATGCAAATATATGCAAAACTTGTCTTTCAACAAATCAAGTTAAAAGACACATTTAATGTCTAAAATAACTAACAAAAATGTACTTTATTAACAGTATTTTACAAAGACAGATATTTCTTTTTTACATAACATTTTCTGATTAGGTCTGAATAAAATGTTAACATAGCAAGAAAATAAAATTTACCGAACAAATTGTGATGAATATTTTATTTCTTTAAAAAAGTTAATTAATTTTGACATATTAATACTGAATTTATGCAACAAAATACAAAATGATTTTTACAAAATGATTTTTACAAATATTTTCTTCATTTTTCCCAAATGACTTTTTTAAAATATTTTATTGGCTCAGATGTTCTTCCTCACTGAATTTTTATCATAAATATTTTTTCAAAGTTAGGTTAAATATTTTTTTCAGCTTCCTTTTATACTAAAATGTAATTTTAATATTTTAATTTCTTCTTATATTCACCGTCACCTGAGTGGTATTACTGAAAATTGTTAATTTGACACAGATTACAACTCCAAAGAGCAGGATGGTTGCATGGGCATTTCTTTCTTTCATGCATAGTATAAATATAAGCCAGCTAGCTTCCTTTAGGAAGTCCTTCCCAAAGATATCCTGGTTTTTAGAAGAGCCCCCTGCATGCTTTGTCACAATTGATTTAAATCAATTCATTCATTAATTAATTTTGCTACTCACTGCCATGGACTTCCATTTTAGTATATGGACATTAGCCAATAGCTGTTGATACACTACCAAAAATCTAATGGTGTATTTTGGTGAGAAAATATATGTTTGACATCACTAGATTAATTAAACAATTTGACATCACTAGATTAATTAACATTAACTTATTCCATATATTTTACTCTGCTCAGTTTTTTCCTGCATTGCTTGGTAATCACATTCAAAATCACATCAAAGAGATTTATTATTCTGCACAGTTTGCCTCTGCCTCCATGAAAATTCATCTAAATAAAAAGTCAAGTAACTTCTCTCAAACCAATACCCTGTTCTTGCTTTAACTTTTTGTATTAATAATTGTTAACATCACATTTAAACTGTACAGCTTCCATCATACAATTTTATTGCAGAACTACAATATACTCACAGTTAAAAAAAGAAAGTTTAAATAAAAGTTTTTTTTTTTTTTTTAATCAAAATACACCCCAGTTGGAAATAAAGGATTGTTTCTGTATCACTTTTCTGCACATTTTGCAAATATATCATGTAAAATTCAGCAAAAGTTAACAAAAGGCAGGCACTATCTTAAGAACTTTCTACAGGAAAAGGATTACCGAGAAGATGACAGAATAAAGAAATATGCTTACCCCAATTTATTTAAAGTTAACATCGAAATAATAATAATAAAAAAAAGATGTCAAGTTCATCTTCTCTTGACCCTTACCTTCAAAAAACATTAAGTGGGATGAAACTATATTATTCTAGAAAAATCTGGTATCTTTCTAGGGTTACTGCAAAGCTTGCTGTATTGTTGATGGCATATAAATGGATATTA